GAAAAAAATAAGAAAAATAAGAAAGAAAGGAAAACGCACAAACGAGAGGAGCAAAAATTATATAATGGGAATCCCGGTATGAGAATAGCATTATATAAAATATATATTTTTTTTTATTTGCTCCAACATAAATTTGTAATGTCTCCAATAAAAATAGGTTTGGAGATTCAGTGATATAAGATGTCTCATTCAGAGGAGATGGGTAAAAGGAATTAATTGGAACTGCTTCCATTATATTTTTATACAAAACATTGTAATTCAATATTTTGTAAAGATTCGTTTCATACTTTATATAAATCTATATTCAATTATGTTTTTTTTTTTGTAGAAATGAATAAATTCAAATTAATACATATTAATTAAACGTGTCTATTAATTATAAAATAATCCTTTTTGACAAAGTCAAAAATTTAGTTTTCTTATTTACTTCTAAATTTAACTTTTTTTATAATTGCGGGAATAACATTTTAAAATTCCCGTTTCCCGGGAATAAAAAAAATAGCTATCAAATTTCATCGATTATTTTTTTTATACAATTTTTATAAAAATAAGAAGTAATTTAAACAATGTTGGATAGTTTTTACATAATAAATACGGATTATTTATAATAATGATAAGTATATACTTTGGATTTGGAATGCATAATAACGTTATGCATGTAATTAAACGTAATTTCGCTAATTAAATATGTCCAGAAATTTCTTGTTGTGTCTACGCTTCTAATTAGTGGACAGAATATGTTGTTACGTACGCATATTGTTAGGTTCATCGTTAGTGGTTAATTAGTGATGTATTTTGGGAGATATTGTGAGCGGAGAGTTCGTGTAGAAACCGGAAGGAAATGTTATCGAAAATGGTGGAATGTCGATGGAGGTAAAGTTACTGCGTAAGTGATTCCCGTTGAAATTTTCCAAAGCGGTTATTCTTACAATGGCTGCATGCACGTTGACATGCCATTACTTATAAGTTTCCCTTTGCCCTAGAAAGTGAATAGTCGTTAACGAGACACCCGAGCCACTCCACATTTTATAGCTAAAGCTAATACACATACAGAGTTTCCTGTACATACACACACGGTGTCCTTATACACAGACGGGTTTCGTTTATTTTTATTTACATTTTCTTTTGCGCTATTTTTCCGCCATCAGGATCCAACTTTTCCATGGCTAAACTGAAATTCCCAAACGTCCAGTTTGTTTTATAATGAAAGATAATTTCCCTTTACTCACAGAACTCGCAGAATACAGAAATGGAAAACTCCAAATAATAGCTAACATCTACTATCATTTCACTTAGTTTTTTTAAAATCAAATAAATATACTTTTTATAGCTAACAACAAATCTGTTGTTAAATTTCATTTTTACACTTTCATATTTACCTTCACTTTTTTATGTAATTAAATTAAAATGAGCTATAAACGAACATTCTCGATTATGCTAGGAAGGATGAAAATGAAATATTTGAAGAAAATTATTTTATTGTTGTCATAAGTTGGAATGTTCGTAAATCGAGCTGTAATAGAAGTAGCATAAGTATTGCTATGAACTGTGAGTTCACTTATTTGAGGTAGTGTGATATTTCAGTAGTAGTATTTAAGTAGTAGTATATTTCATTAACTCAAATATTTTATATTTGAACTGTATTTTCAATTTAAGCTATAAGTAAAATTACAATATTGGAAAGTAAATATTTGAAGCATAGTTTGATTAATCCATAATGGACGTAAATACAAGCTTTTTCTTACTTTGTAACTTTTTTTAAGATATTAAATACAGCCTTAATATGGATTAGACTAAGAAAGTAATACTTTTATGTGGTTGATGCAATTTAAGTTTCGCTTTTAGTTCGGAGATTTTATGTAATTTGGGGTCGGCAGTAAAACGGGGTAAGTTTTTTTATAATCCTGACGGAGGCGGCGCGCCGTATTAATTTATCGATGATAATAATTAAGCCTTGCCCTAGCACCGATAAAGACGATCGTAAGTGCATTTTCTAATATGGGGTGGCACAGGGCAGTGGCGAATAAAAAATATGTATTAGAGAGAGAGAAGTGCCGAATCTGTGGCCTACGGCGAGGGGCGGCGGCGAGCTTTTCGGTACATGTAGAGGCATTTCTGCCGCGATTATTAATGATCTGTCAATTCTCACTCCGCTAACATTGTTTCTGCATTATTTCGCTCTATGAAAGCTAACAATATGATTTATAATTTGACTTTGGTTGCGCGAGATACGAGCCGCCCCCCGTCAACCTCCCCCCCCCCGAAAAAAAAGGGTTCGCGTTTTTATTATTAACTTATTATTATTTATACCAGTGATTCTCAAACTTTTTGACATAAAATGTTTCTAGGATCCCCTGAAGAATGGATATGTGTAGAAAAACAACCAAGATTGAACGTCATTAACTTTATGCGACCACCCAAATATTTTACGCGACCCACACTGCAGTAGTGGAGTCTACGAGAAATCAGAAAAAAGTGAATAGGATTTTCTTAAAAATAGCTGTTTCGTTGAGATCCGAAGAGTTTTCACGTTTTTTCTTAATTACACGAAAATTACGTAAATTTTGTTGCATTTCATGATTGCGTAGGATGCCTTAAACACCTTTTTATGAAACGAAAGCACTAAGTTTTGATCCATACAAACAGAATAATAGGAGATGAATAGTGATACGTTCTTGAGTTCTAAATTGAACAAATTGTTAATAATTTTTTAACAAAGAAATGTGATCTTTTTAATTATATATTATTGATTAAGTGTAATTGATAAATATAATAAGAAGAAAAAATAAGCAAGTAACTTTTGATATCCGTGATCTGTTTATTGAAAAAATGTGCATTTGTTATTTAATGAAGAAAGCAGAGAAAAAAACATGGAAATTATGAAATTAGTTGTTAAACTTTAAAAATAATATATTTGATTATTACATATGATTGTTTGTATATAATATCAAATAGATAGCTCTTGATTATTGACCTAGCTATGATGTTTGTGTGTTATACATTTAACATAAAATTAAAGATAATGATATAAATATAATGATAATGCATATTATTGGTTTTTTTTTATCTGATTTTTATGCAGTTTTGTAATTATTTATATAAAGGTACCGTTCTCATAATACATAATATATTTACTACAATGATTGATTATAGCAGAGATCGGCCGACCGACATTCAAAGAGCATCATTATTCATTCATATTGCATCAAATATACAATTTGAGTAAATAGATGCTTGATTTTGATAACTTATAGTAGATGTACTGACCATACCACAATGCCGGCAGTTAGCTCATTGGAAAGGTTGGATTTTTGTTTTTAATTTTCGTATTCGATTGTTTAATTATCACGAGTGGTAATCGATTAATTTAAAAAACGTGAAGGTATTGCAGCAAATTGAAAAAATAGTTATATAAATGGTTATATTCTGATATATTAGAAAAATTTAATTTAAAGTTTTAAAGCATAATTGTTTCGCTTTCATTTGCTATAAAATACGTTAGTTTTGGTCAATTAATAAGAAAGTTATTAAGATTTAACAAGTTGGAAATTTTCACGAATCAAAACGTAAGTCCCCCCCTGAAAAAATGATTATCGAAAATGCCAGTAAATTGGGATTTGCACTAGGAGACTAAGAGTGCGAGGAGGCATCTGAGCTCCTAGCATCGGTTGTTCCTGATTGGTTGAAATTTGAATTTTTGAATTTTACGTACGTGTGAGTGAGCAAACTGTTATTGTTACAGCTTTCATACTGACAGTTGCTGTCGCAAGTAAAATGTAAAGCTATTTATTGGATTTCCTCTTTATTCTACATTGTTCTGAATGCAAACTTAATGAACAACATGCTCCATTGCTTCCTTCTTCTATTTCCTGGGATGGAAAACCTTTCTCTGAACTTCACATTTCACATTGGGCAAGTACTAGTGGAACATGTCAACAACCATTGATCACTAAAGTTCTTTGTCTTCAGAAAACATACATCAGAAACTGGAGCTAAGTAGGGATAATTCTTTAAATCTTTTACAGTGTCTTCATATAAGAATGCATTAATTGTTAATACTCATGAAGTAAGTAGTCACAATCATCGATACAATTATTATTATTTTAGGTGGAGCTGATAGCAACATGCCTTTAATGTATAATTGATGACCTCAAGTTCTGCAGAAAGTGAAAAGCATTCTTTAATAGCAGTTTTCATTTGCAAATAGTAGAAATCTTAACTGATGAATGTAACCATAAATATTACTTCATTACGGAGATGGATAACAACTATGGACCCTATAGCACCCATGATTCTATTGTTGCTTCGTACATGATCCTTAGAGACTAGAGAACTAGCTAGATGCATTGAATACATTTGAAAAACAAAAATGTTTATTTTCATCAAATTCCCAGAAAAAGGCTAAAAGTATTTTATATGAATATCAATCTTTATTTTAATCTCTATATATTTTAGATCAACATTCATCTTCAACATTCTTCTGGAAGCAATTACTTACGAAAATACAGGCCATTTTCGAAAACGTTCTTTTCCAAACTATCTAATACTAAAGTTTGATAATTAATTGCGATGAAGCTATGGTAGCTACAAACTTTTATTTACACTCATTTTAGTCTCTCTATATTCAAGATCAACATTAATGTCCATAACTCTTCTGAGAGTTGGTGTATACGAATATACAAGCCATTTTCGAAGACGTTATTTTCCCAACTCATTCCTGAAATACCAAAGATTATTGATCAATTATGAAGACAGCATTGCAGATACAAACTAATATTTACGCTAATTTTAATCTGTGTATATTCAAGATCAACATTCATATATAACATTCTTCTGGGAGCTTATATTTACGAAAA